AGGGGGGGCGCCTACTACTACTACTACTACTACTACTACTACGTCTACTTCTACTTCTACTTCTACTTCTACTTCTACTTCTACTTCTACTTCTACTTCTACTTCTACTTCTACTTCTACTTCTACTTCCACTTCTACTTCTACTTCTACTTCTACTTCTACTTCTACTTCTACTTCTACTTCTACTTCTACTTCTACTTCTACGACTACTACTACTACTACTCCTCTGCTGCGCTCGAGAATCCGTTTTTGAACGCTCAGGTGCTGGTCTTTGTCCTGGCTTTCTTGACAGCCTGGTGCTTCTGCCTCCGACTCGGAATACGGCGCGGGTTCGGTCCGGAAGTCGGAACTGCTTGATGGTGTTCAGTGCAGTTCGCGCTTTGGATGCCTGCTGCACTATAATAAACTTGTATTGTCCAGGCAGGCCGAGCATCGTGAAGGCCTTGATGCTCTGCAGGGTCCGGCTCCCTTCTTTGCAGCTGAGGTGCCTGCTGTTGCCGACCTAGGCGTACCGGGTGACCGCAAAGCTTTTGCTGGCTTGCCCAAGTCACTATGTGATCTGGGCACGTGTTTATCCGAAACCCACATGTGGCAGGTGCAGAATCATTGCACCAGCATCAAGCAAAGCTTGTCTTCCGGTTTCGCCATGGTTCACAGATAGTGTAGTTAGACGCGTAAGTAGACTGCACTTGGCAGGCTACAAAGAAAAGCCTTGCAAGGCACCGACCACTGCAGAGGGCAAAAGGGCCGTGGTTTGCAAGCACAGCAGTGCACTGAAGGACCTCTGATATGACGGCTGCAGGTGTCATCCTTCCGACCTCCACCTCAAAATTGCAGTGACTGCAGGGACGCGCTGGTACGGAGCCTCTTTGTAGCTCAGTTCGCGTATGACTCATCAGCCGCCGGGTTCCGGTTCAGGGGCCATGATGCTGCAACCTCTTGGCCTGCAGAGCTGCGTGGCTCAAAGGCCTTGGCTTATTGCCGGGCGCATACGAAGTTCCATGGTGCAGCACCTGCAGATGGAATCCGTTTATCGTCTTGGCAGTCCAAGCTTGAGTTGAAAGTACGTAGGTTCGACAAGGACTGATATAGAATGGGGCAGAATGCCAGCCAGTTTGATAGCTCAACTTCCTGTAGACTAAACCCACGGTCCCAAAGGCCCCACTCGCCGGCAGATGCCCAGTGGGCCCCTCATAAGAGGGCGCTAAGGGTGGGTCTGGATCCAATGGGCCGATGTAATTGGCGCAGGGCATGAAGGAGGGCAGCAAGGCCAGGCACCAACCGTTTGTAAGAGTCTATCATGTGGGAGTTTCAAAAAATTAGGGGTACCTTATTTCGGGGTCCTTATAATATGGATCCTATTAATTAGGCTACTATATTAGGGTCCCTTATTCTCGGAAACCCCCATGTTTGTAGCCTAGGAAGCTCTGAGCCGTTGATCCACGTCTATCTGGCGGACTGAAACTGTGTGGGTCCTCGGAAAGGCCATCAGTTCCAGCCCATCGACCGCTTCCTCCAACGCGAGGCCTTTCTAAAAGATTTCTGCTTTGTACCGCAACTCATTGGTTTCGCGCCGCTCAGCCAAGCAAGGATCAGAGGACTTCGTAAGTAGATTGCAATTGGGGGTATCCGGGATATGGTTTGCGAGGCCGCGCCAGGGCAGAAATGAGACTCCTTTACACCCAGGTTGTAGGCAAAGGTTGGCATCCCGGACATTCTGGGACAAGTTAAAGACGAAGATTCAGGGACCGGCAACAGTTGGGGCCCAACTGAAGCCGGGAAAATGTGATGTCAAGGTTTGTCAGCAGCTATGCAGCACATTTATCTTCCAAGAGCTTTCTTTTTGACGCCGCGCGCTGCCATCCTGCTCAACGGCTTAGCAAGCTGCTCGGCACAAGTTGACATCGCACAGGATTCCAAACTCGGATTGTGAACAGTCTGTCATCGCCGGCCACAGCCGGTTCTGGACGGGGAGAGCCGGAACATGCATGCCGGCGCTCGCTCCTGCACTCGTGGTGACAACTCATAAAGCAAAAGAGGAATAATTTGATGCAGACATGAGCAAGGTTAAAAAACACATGGAGATATGGAAGAGTCTGACAAAGCCTTTCCCATTTCCCATGCAGCCCGCGGGCCGGCTCTGTGACTTTGCTGGAGAGCCGGAGGAGGGGAACGAGCAAGAACCAGTCGTGGCGTTCAGCTCGGACCGCTGGGACTCTTTCTCCACCGGTGCATGTACGGAAGTGCGAAGAGCGGCATCCATATTGGATTGTGGGTATCTCGCACCCACTCTTCGCACTTCCTTGCATGCTCAGTCGGAGTCTCAATACCCCGGTTTCAAGCTGCCGACCGACTGTGTGGACTGTACATCATCCAGACGAAAGAAAGCCTGCCGCTGCGGTAGAGCCGATCCGTCCGTTGCGATCGTGGGGGACTGGTGCCCGTGGGCCCCGACATTGATGTGTGTGCCGTATGTTCCTTTTCGGCGGTTGACCTCTTCGCAGAGTCCTGTGGCAGGTTTTGCCGACTTCGGTGCAACTGGAGGAAAGCACGAGGTATCCTACGAATCTTGGTTGCCCTGGGGGTCCTGGTGGCCGCTGAGCCGGCCGTTTCGGTGCTGAAAGCCACCAAGGGCCCGCAACTTGCTGTCGTCGCCGCGCCGGCCCTTGTTGGCTTTCAACTGCCCGACGGCACGGCTGGGAGGCGATCTTCCGATCGCGTTCATCGGCACACTTGCTGGAGCCCTGCCAGAGCCAGATGCCGTGCGTCCGAGGTTCTCGGCATTTTCTGGGTTCCCGACTGAACACAGGCAGCCGTTGGACGAGCCCCAGGCGGTGCTGCCCACAGCCCTGGAGATGCCGCACGATGCGGCTTTGAACTTCAATTCCATAATCAGAAGATGTTTGGCATGGAAACCGAAACCATTGTTCGTGGACGCCACGGCTCTTACCGCATCCTGAGAAGGACGGTATGTTTGAAAAGGACAGCACTCTACGTGTGTTCCTCGAGTCAGGTCCTGCAATCGCAGCTTCATCGTGGGCGTGCTAACCATCGGCCTGGCCGTCGTGGCGGCAACCGTGCCAGTCGCAGCCTGGCCGGCATGTTTGCTGCCGCGACGGCCAGACGGGCTGGCCCTGCAGCAATGCTGGCAGTCATTGCCATGCTGGTATTCGAGCAGACGCAAGCAGCATCCCCGAGTACTGTTCGAATACCACCATGTCGTCATCTCCGGTGGCAAGATCTTCATTTTGCCCTCCTACTAGATGTTCGAAAAGCCTGGCTCGACACCAGCCTGTGCCCAGCAGGGGCCACTCCGCCAAGTGTGGCAACAGACGCTGCTCCATCCTAGGCCAAAATCCAAGCAGGCAGTGAGCAGCGCCTGGTGCTCAATGCTTCGTGGAGACCACGGCTATCACTTGGTTTGTGTTTATGAGGGTATGCTTCGAGTGCCGTCCTTGCGGCCTAAAAACTAACCGATGGCAGTCCCAAAGGCCCGACCAGCCATGTCAGCCCCTGGGAACCGGCGCGACGAGATCGGATGTGAAAACAACAATGTTGGCAGGAGCCCGACTGCGCAGCCGATAAGTTTCCAGCGACACCGTCACTGGAGACTGATCGGCTGCACTGACGGACTCCTGCCACAGCGAAAGTGTTGCCAAACAATTCCAAGGGGAAAGAGTCCATCTTTGGCTGGTGGCGTGAGTCAGTCCCCGCACGGCAGCTACATGCCTTGTCTGCAGACATATTGCCATGCGGCACCGTTTCTGTGAACCAGCCACGGCTTCAAGGCCAGCATTTGTATGCCACATGCCATTCCAGCAATCACAGCCTATAACCTGCACCGGCGCTGCTTGCTTTGCTGGACAGAATCAGCAGGGAGCCGCGCTGCCAGCAGCATGGGTCGAGCCTTGTTACTGTAGCAGCAACAGGCAAATTCCGCGAGGCCAGGCTTGCATTGACTGGCATGACTGGTGGCCATACCAGTCGAATGGCCGACGCGAGGAAAAAACGTTTTGAAAGAGGTGCAGCTGGAGCTCAGCTCGGATATCATGCAAGGCTCTGCTTGGAGTGCCCCCGTGCCCAAAGCCTCAGCTCGAGCCGCAGGTCTCCGGCCGCAGGCGTCACCCGGTGTAGGGAGCGGGGCTGCAAGTCAGATCCGACAAGGAGCAGGGTTCTTGCCCGTCGCTATCTGTCGATCTAACTAGCGCAATTGGCACTGCAAGTGTCAAGGCACATGATAGGGTTGGCCGCAATACGAGGTTTGGTTTCCGTCATCTCTTTCCTGCCCCTCTGCCCTGCCAGGGAAGACGTCCGAGGGCACGCACAAGGTGGGATGCGTTGGTCTCCTCAAACAGATCTGTATAAGTGCTGCTACACAGTTTAAGGCCCCAAGGTTGATCCACACGTAGAGGACGCTGAAGTCTGTGATGCCTGGGGAGCCGAAGGGAAGCCGGTTCATGCTCTCTCTCTCTCTCTCCCGGCCGCTTCCTCGAACGATGGCCTGTCCTAGAATGGACTTAGCAGAGGATAGCACGAATCGCACGTGTGCAGTGCATCACAAACCTCCAGCATCTTCTGTCACTGTCACACGAAAAGTGCACGTTACACTACATGCTGGCAGCCTTGGTGATCATCGCATCATCATGGTCGTTATGATGTTTGCATTGGATGGCTGTTTACTTCCTGCTCATGAACATCGCCGCGCCTTGGCATCACCAATATTATCATTACCCCACTATCGCAACATTTTTTGTGCTGTAGCGATGGGCACAACTGTTTCAGGCCGTCTCCTCGGCATGGTCCAGGCACCGCTCTTGGATAGTTTTGCTGGGAAGAATCGTTGAGAGAGCTGTAGTGACCGGCTTAAGATGGACTTCTCGTGCCTGCACTGTCATGCTGTCGTCTGTAATCCGGAGACAACATATAAATCGTTTGCGTCGTTGCATGGACCGCCCCTCCAGAGACACAAGTGTTCCTAAACTCTCACTAACCCCTGAGCCAAAACTCCTACAGTGATCCCCAAAGACCCAAAACCCTACACGAAAAGCCCCAAGCCGAAAAGCCCGAAACCGCAAACCCACACCCAAAACCCCTAAACCCCAACCGCGAAGCCCAAACCGCACCCAAAACCCTGAACGCCAAACGCTCTCTCTTGAACCCGATGCTTACCTAAACCCTAAACCCTAAACCCTAAACTGCCCTAAACCCGACCCCCAGACTGCAGAGCCCAGTGAAAAAAACCTTTGAAGTTGTGGAGGTCGATGAGCGAACCGGTGCAGTTGGGGTCCGAAGCGTGGGGTGTGGGATGAAGGGCTTGGGATTTAGGGCTTCCTTTCAAGGAGTTCTAGAAGGGTTTAGAGTTTAGGGTTAAGGGATTCGGGTTAGGGGTTCCTTTCAAGGAATTCTAGAAGGGTTTAGGGTTAGGGGATTAGGGTTTCGGGCTCGGGGTTAAGGGTACCTTTGACGAGTTCTACAAGGTCTCTCTTGGGGTTCCTGTGTGGCTTTTAGGAGAAAGGGTT